TCAAACAGGCCAAGTGGGGTGGAAAAAGCAGTTTTCTCCCGGTCTTGGGGATCCATCTCATCTTTTTTTTTTAAAGTAATATGTAATATATATTTTTTTTAGTAACGACCCCATCTCTGATCGCAGAGCCCCAGACAGATTAATTCATGTTTTATTGCATATATTTTTATGTATGCTCTGTCTATGACGTCAAGTCAAATTCCTCGTATGTGTAAACCTATCTGGTGATAAACCTGTTTCTGATTCAGAGACATCCGGCATCAGACGCCATGTTTGTTTACTGCTTCTCACTGGGTTCATACTTCAGGAGAACTTCCTGATAAGTTGATGGTAGTAATCACTTCAAAACAGTGTTCATTTTGTGAGTTATATTCAAATTTAGACTCAAATAAACAACATAGTATCATGTGCTTTAGGGCGGGGCTAGCTGTGATTGTTAGGTTCCAAAAAACCAAGACGGTGTCGACCAGTTTCTCTGCTTTTTTTTGCATTTTCACTGCCCCTTGATTCATGGTAGAAATCCGCCCTGGAGTTACGGGAGGACATTTGGGTCAAACTTGTTGATATGATTAATCTTCGTAATGTTTTATTAAAGCGTTAAGGTTTCCAGATCATAGCCCTAGTGTTTATATATTCAGTTGTAGGTTTAAACTAAATGTAATAATGTATATGTATATGTGAATGAACTACGTATAAACGCCCGTAATGTTTAATGTTAGAATTCTTTAGCTTTCTCTCTCTATTGAAATATATTCACCTTCATGTGTTACTCGTTATTTACCTCGGAAAGTTTCAGTTTATCCCAAAGTTTATTGTTCTTCATTTAGTCGGTGAGGACAGTATCACCTTTGAGTTGAGTCTAATTAGGATGATAACCCTGGGATGTGTGTGTGTGTGTGTGTGTGTGTGTGTGTGTGTGTGTGTGTGTGTGTGTGTGTGTGTGTGTGTCCGAGGGGAGGTCATTACCGGACTCTGATTGGTCCCTCTGGTCCTCGGCTCGGGGGGGTTATTGGAAACTGTTCAACATGACAAACAAACATGTTGACGGTCTGACTGACCTCTGACCTCTGACCTCAGGGACTTCATTAACGAGCCGCGGTAACTTTGACCAAATGTTTAATTTCTAATTGACTTTACCAAGAAAGAAGAAACACGATTAAAGCAGCGGTCGGGGGAAGGGTTCCCGATGTACCAACATGTGCCGTATTTATACTAACTTATACTAAAGTGTGGCTGGAAGTTGCTCTTCATTCCTTGAGTGGGGGTATAGTTAAAGGCCAACATCTGTGTTTTATTAACATTCACCTTGTATCCTGAATGGTCACCATATATTTGTATAAGGTTCATCAGCTGGATAAAGCTTCTATTGGGGTTTTCGAGATATATTATAGTATCATCCGCCAATAGACTCACTATGTGTTCCTGTCCTTTAATCCTAACTCCCTGCAGCTCTTCACTTTGCCGTATAGCCTGTGCTAGAGGTTCAATGTATAGAGCGAAGAGGAGTGGGGACAAACAACCTGCCTCTTTTTAATACTATTCTTTCTGTTAGACTACCATTCATTTTTATTCTAGCTGTGGGATTTTGATAGATAGTTTCAATGCACTTAATTGAGACCGAAGGAGTGGCAGACCTCTAAGGTACTCGAAAGGAGGGTCAGGCCGATTGACGGTCTGGCTGACCTCTGACCTCTGACCTCAGGGACTTCATTAACGAGCCGCGGTAACTTTGACCAAATGTTTCATTTCTAATTTACTTTACCAAGAAAGAAGAAACACGATTAAAGCAGCAGTCGGAGGAAGGGTTCCCGATGTACCAACATGTGCCGTATTTATACTAACTAAGTGTGGCTGTGTTTGGGTGAAGAGGCCCTTCTTCTTCTGTGGTGTTCCTCTCCTGTAGTTCTACAGGTGTTACTGCGTGTAAATGGTCAGCAAAGGCTGAAATAAAAAATGTAGGCGGACCAGAGTCCGGTTGTTTAGTTCACTTCAGGGGTCTCGGACTGCGTTCACATAAACCCAAACGAACTGCACAAAGCGGGTAAACTCACCAGGGTTCGATTCAACCGGACTAAACAAGGCTGGTGTGAATGTGACCTTAATCTAATAGTGTTTTATTTATTAATGTGTTGTCTCTATCTTCACATTTGCTGTAACTATGTACATTTCCCCTCTGTGGGACGAAGGTATTCTGATCCTGAGAATGTTCCAATAATAAATATAAATACACAGTTCACAGATTTATTATATTTCATGGGATGAATGACGGCAGAAACACAAACTGAGTGATCCTTCAACATAAATATATTTTACCTCCGAAATATAAAAATATCACTTCAGCCAAAACTCAGAAAACACCACGAAAAGCGACGCTCTCATTTTAATTTGTATGGAAGTTCATTGATGACAAAACTGTTGAACAGAAAAACTAAAACAAAGAGCGCTGGTTTTTTAATTCATTTTTAAAATCTGCGCTTAATGATTTTTTGTCAGATTCATATTTGTTTTAATGTGAGCTGAAAAAGTAACTTCATGCAATAAGCCACAGAGTTTAAAACAACTGAATGAGGGGTCAACTACATGTCCCAGAGTGCACTGGGGCTGGAAGTATCCAATCAGAGTCGGGTGCTGCTGATCATTGGAATTTATCTAGAAATCTAAATTCATTCATGTTGTGCAGCAGATTACAGCGAGAGGCGGATAAAACCTGTTTGAATTTACAGATATGATGTTTGTGCATTTCAAAGATGAATGTGTGCTTTAGGTCGAAGTTTGTGGAAAAACTGAGAGTGAAAATATAAGAGAAAGATTTCACACACGGAAATCACCCGGAGTGCTCTTATGGGGCTATAAAACTCAGAATCTACGTTACCAACCAAATCACAAAATGATATGTTTACATAAAATGTTTTGGCCATTCTTGAGATTATAAATGCCGAAACGCAAAACCATGCAAATTACAACAAATAAAAAAAAACCTTAAAGCTCCCATGTCATGCTTTTCCGGTTATTACCCGTCCCCTTGTGTGTTATGAAGGTTTTTATGCATGTAAACGGTGTGCAGAGTCAAAACCCTCAAAGTACACCCTGTAGCGAGTAAAACTCTAACACAGAAAATACCTCCCCAAAACGCCTCGTTGGAGATACGTCACTGCCCATTTGAGTCTTCCATTTAGTTCCGGGTACCGCCTGATGTCATGCGGTACCCGGAACGAAATGGACCAATCCCGAAGAGCTATGGCCACACCAGCAGCGGCGTGTTCCTCCTCCAGAGGTTCGAAGAACCGGCATTTCACAGACGAAAGCTTCCAAAACATTGCCCAGTTTGAGGCCGGATATGCACAGCTTGTTTGGACCGTTTGGAGCAGGGGAAGATCTGGGTATACAACCTGTAAGTTTGCATTGTTATTTGTGTATTTATCAAACAAGACTGTTTAAATGTGTAAACTGTGTTGGACTGCTAAGCCATTGACACAGTGCTAACTGTGCTAACTAAGTTGCTAGAGTTTCCATATATCAACTCTAATATCAGCAGATGGCCTTGCATACATGTATCTCATAGCAGGAGAATGTCTGCATTCACACACAAAATACCTATTGACAGTATACTGCGGGTGATTTGCCGGTCAGTCGCGAAACGTAATTACATTATAGCTGGCGTAGCGATCTAACACACGGAGCTTGAGCTAGTTTTGGTCAGAAAAACATTTTTGTGATGCTACGTTGCTAGCGTTTAAATATATCAACTACAATGTCAGCAGATGGCCTTACATGTTTGTCATGGCAGGAGAATGTCTGCAGTCACACACACGGAATACTCATACAGTATACTCCGGTTTACCGTACATTGTGACCGTACATATACTGCATGTAGCTAACGAGGCTAGCTGTATGCTAGCGCAAAACAATGTATTCATGCAAGTTACATTGTATGGTAGCAGAATACCCGTATACGATTGCAATTATAAACACGTTATTGCTAGCCTAATATGAACCACTAGCTTTTGTTCATAGTAGTTTTATTACACTGCATTATAGTTGCCTTTCCTCCAAGCTAACGTTCATATCGTGTTAGCTACCAAGGTAAACAAAGCTAGGTTAGCATATTAGCAGGCAAGCTGTTCATTACACAACTACTACTAACGAATCTAAAACAACTAAGTTTCTCTAATATTTTGTGATTTGCATTTGATTTCGTCCAGCCAGATCCTGGCGGACAATCCATGACGGGGAAGGGATTCTACTACTACTGAGGCCTCGTGCTAAAAGGCACCGCACCGCACCGACTGTGCGCAGGCAAGAGGAGGAGGAATGGATGATATACCGTGTATATATGTATATTTATGTTCATTTTGTACATTTCTAAAAATAAAGTTTAATGGAAATACTTAGTAGGCCTATCCTTTCTTCCCTGAATTCATATATAGCAAACCATGATTTGATTTCTCATCAAACAGTAGTAGTTTATAACGGGTAAAAATAACTTACTCTTTGTTATGAGAGTAGCTCGTAGGCCACAACGGAAAGACAAGGAGACATACACGAGTTTACAAAACCACGGCACATTTATTGTGGTAAATGCAAAGATAGGTGGTTGAGAGGATCGCAGAGTTAGTCTTCCTGCAGCCGCTTTGGAGAGAGACTGGGGCCGTAGTGTCCGGAGGTGTCCGTGATCGCGCTGATTACCCTCTTCAGCTCCACCCCATCCATCGTAAGACAAAGGCCCTGGGGCCGTCACACTCTTCTATAACAACAGTTAAAAATATATATGTATATAAAATATACCGCTGTACCGACGCCATGATAAGACTGATGTTACGCTGAGAGCAGCCGGGAAAAGCACTGACATGGGCGCAGCCTCTCTGGTGGTTGACTAATCAGAACGAGTGGCCGAGCTGACCAATCGGAGCACACTAGGCTCACAGGGAGGGGGGGGCAAGAGCTCCAACGAGTCGTTTAGTGGAGAAAGTGAATACTGCTGAATACACATGCTTGACAGAGATGCTGTATGCGAAACCAATGTGAGTTTGGAAAATTGCACAGTATAAATCTATTTTAGTATACCTCAACAATGTAATTATGATCAGTGGAAATGGCCATGACATGGGCCCTTTAAGGTCGCATAAGTGACTTCACAACTTTCTCTGATGGGGTTTATACAATTATGAATTTCCAAGATTTAAGTCGTATATTTACGTGAAAAAACATTAAGAAATGTACGAGAACAAACGTTCTGTGGGATTATTGTAATGCAATCTGGAGAAATTGGGACATTTACGAGTAAAACAATGTTTTAAGGTAAAGAAAGATTTGGGTTTTCTGTAAGATTAGAAAGTCATATTTTACGAGAAGTCGCAGTTTGTGGTAAAACTGATGAAACCACGACTGAAAATGTATAATCAGAAAGAGATCAGAAGTCACATTTAGTGACGCCACTAACTGTGATGTAATTTGTGGTAAAACTGTCGAAATGCACGACAGTGAAAATGCATAATCAGAAAAATGGGGGTATAATGGGGGTTATACAAATATGAATTTCGTGGATTCAACCTGTTAAGCCCCAAGCCTGTTTTTCAGGTCTCAGGCTCGAAAATGACATTCCCAGAACAAATGACAATAACTTCCCTTACATGCCGAATCGGTAGGTTTTCGGCCAAAAAAGTGTCGGCACGGCCGAAAAGACACGACGGTGCACCAATCTGAGTAGGGCGACAGGACGCTCATCGTCGGCCTGACATCCATCGACGGCCAAAATCGGCTTTACCTACCCTACCTTTAAGTTGAATAAAAACAGAAAAAAACGTTCACCGGGATAACTGTCAATCTAAAGAAGTCGCGAAACTGTGTGCGACTGAAAATGCGTAATTATAAAGACCACAACATTTCGGCTTCATAGCTTTCTCTGGTGGGGTAATGAAACTCAGGATTTTACAATATATATATTTTTTAATTAACGGGTTTTCTGTAAGATTATAAAGTCATATATCAACGAGAAAACTACCCGAGATATGCTGAGGGACTGGCGAGGCTAATACAATCCAGGGCTCCATGACAGAAGTTGTAAATATTTAAGAAAAACATGTGAAATTTACGGGAAAAAAACTTTAATATTTACCGAGATTATAACAAATCTGAAAATCTATGAGAGAAATATTAAGTGAGAAAATGGTGATGACATCAGTCATGAGAAAATGAAAATTGTTGTTAAAATAAGAGAAATTCTCTCGTTAACGAAGAGCGTAGACATGATTTTTTTGCAAAAGGCCGCCGCACAGAAACGTGATTTAGAATGATGTATTATTTTCTGCTCTCAGTTGTTTTGTCGTTAATGAACTTCCGTACACCGTCCTTGAAATGAAATATGTTTCCACGGTTTCAACGTGACTCTCTTCCTGTGAAAATCCTCCTCTTTGGTTTCCATCTCAGACCTTAGTGATTGTTGATTCAGTCCAAACTGAACTTCATCGTGAGAAGCAGCTCTGATTCGTCCACGAACACGGCAGGATGTGACGTCATCAGCAGAAGGGGGCAGGGCTAGACGCAGCGGCGAATCAGGTTGTTCTTTTCGGGCTCCAGGAAGTCGTCCAGCAGCGCCGCGGTGATCCGGTCCAGCTCTTCCTGCAGAGCCGCCGCCTGGCTGCAACACAGGAAGTGATGTCACAGGAAGTGATGTCACACTCCGTTAGCCTATCTCTAGCTCACCTGATTTTACATGTTTATATTTCCCTTCTATAGCATCACCTGCAAATCAGACACTGTCCCTATTGAAACAATTATAATAGCAGTTGTTGTAGTAGTAGTGGTAATGGTAGTAGTGGTAGTAGTGGTAGTAGTAGTAGTAGTAGTAGTAGTGGTAGTAGTAGTGGTAGTAGTGGTAGTAGTAGTAGTAGTAGTGGTAGTAGTAGTGGTACGTAGTCAGTTACCGATGGTGGGAGTAGTGGTAGTAGTAGTAGTAGATTAGTAGTAGTAGGGGCCGTAGTAGTAGTCGTAGTACGTGGTAGTAGTACTGGTAGTCGTCGTCGTAGTGGTAGTGGTCGTCGTCGTCGTAGTGGTCGTCGTCGTCGTCGTGGTGGTAGTAGTCGTCGTCGTAGTCGTGGTGGTCGTCGTCGTCGTGGTGGTCGTCGTCGTGGTCGTCGTCGTGGTCGTGGTACGTGGTCTCGTCGTGTCGTGGTCGTCGGTCGTACGTCGTCGTCGTCGTGGTCGTCTCGTCGTCGTCGTGGTGGTCGTCGTCTTGGTCGTCGTCGTCGTCGTGGTCGTCTCGTCGTGTCGTCGTCGTCGTCTCGTCGTCGTCGTGGTCCGTCGTCCTGGTCGTGGTCGTGGTCGTGGTCGTCGGTCGTCGTGGTCTTCGTCGTCGTCGTCGTCGTGCGTGTCGTCGTCTCGTCTCGTCGTCGTCGTGTCGTCGTCCTGGTCGTCGTCGTGGTCGTGGTCGTGGTCGTCGTCGTCGTCGTGGTCGTCGTCGTCGCGTCTCGTCGTGGTCGTCGTCGTCGTGGTCGTCGTTCGTGGTCGTCGTCGTCGTCGTCGTCGTCGTCGTGGTCGTCGTCCTGGTCGTCGTCGTCGTCGTGTCGTGGTCGTCGTCGTCGTCTCGTGGTCGTCGTCGTCCGTCGTGGTGGTCGTCGTCGTGTCGTCGTCGTGGTCGTGGTCGTGGTCGTCGTCGTGGTCGTCGTCGTCGTCGTCGTCGTCGTGGTCGTCGTCGTCGTCGTGGTGGTCGTCGTCGTGGTCGTCGTCGTGGTCGCGGTCGTCGTCGTGGTCGTCGTCGTCGTCGTCTGGTCGTCGGTGTCGTCGTGGTGGTCGTCGTCGTGGTCGTCGTCGTGGTCGTCGTCGTCGTGGTGGTCGTCGTGTGGGTAGTCGTCTGGTCGTCGTCGTGGTCGCGGTCGTCGTCTGGTCGTCGTCGTGGTGGTCGTCGTCGTGGTCGTCTCCTTCGTCGTGGTCGTCCGTCTTCGTGGTGGTCGTCGTGGTCGTCCGTCGTCGTTCGTGGTGGTAGTCGTCGTGGTCGTGGTCGTGGTCGCGGTCGTCGTCGTGGTCTCCGTCGTCGTCGTCGTAGTGGTCGTCGTCGTCGTGGTGGTCGTAGTTGGTGGTCGTCGTAGTGGTCGTAGTATCGTGGTAGTCGTAGTGGTCGTCTCGTGGTGGTCGTCGTCGTGGTCGTCGTCGTGGTAGCGGTCGTCGTAGTGGTCGTCGTCGTGGTGGTGTCGTGGTAGTCGTAGTCGTTGTGTGGTGGGTCGTACGTGGTGGTGGTCGTCGTGGTTGTGGTACGTCGTGGTGGTGGTCGTCGTGTGTTGTTCTCGTGGTGGTGTACGTCGTCGTGGTGGTAGTTCGTAGTGGTGTCTTCTCGTAGGTGGTGGTCTTCGTTGGGTGGTCTGTCTTCGTCGATGGTGGTCGTCGTCGTGGTTGTGGTCTGTGGTGGTTGGTCGTCGTGGGATGCTGGTCGTCGTCGTCGTCGTATTAGAGTAGTGGTTCTTGGTCTCGGTCGTCGTCGTTGTGGTAGTCTTAGTGGTGGTCGTCGTGGTGCTGTATGTAGTGGTGGTGGTAGTAGTAGTGGTGGTAGTAGTAGTGGTGGTGGTAGTAGTAGTGGTGGTAGTAGTGGTGATGGTAGTAGTAGTAGTAGTAGTAGTAGTAGTGGTAGTGGTAGCGGTAGTAGTAGTTGTGGTAGTAGTAGTGGTGGTAGTAGTAGTAGTAGTAGTAGTAGTAGTAGTAGTAGTACTCAGTACCTGGTCCCCGGCGCGGCGCAGTACTCTGTGTAGTATTTGATTTTTGGTTCGGTGCCGCTCGTCCTCAGCGTTGCCACGACGCCATTCTGCAGCGTGAAGGTGATCATGTGACCGCTCCTTGTCACAGGAAGTACCTGCACACATATACACAGTACATGAAGTACTGCAGAGTATTGCAAAACACACAGTGCATGTACTACTGCAGAGTACTGCAAAACACACAGTACATGTATGTTGTTATATTTATGGATATGTATTATCTATTTATTTTTGTATTTATCATATATAATACACATTTATTTATTATAAAAGTACTAATAGCCCACTGTAAAAAGTGCTCATGTAGAGGTTTCTCTGGGGACAAACGTGCTTTTATGTATTAGTACACGTACGGATGTGTATTAGTACACGTACGGATGTGCGGTCGGCGCGGCTGCTGTCGTATCCCGTGGTAACGTCGCGGACGTTAGCGACGCGCACGCCGCCGCAGTGCTGCGGGTACGAGTCCTCGCCGTGGAAGTTCCTGAGGCGGTGGAAGATCCTGCTGACGGTGGGGGGGTCGTCACAGATCACATAGGACGTCTGCGACAGGTGGGGCCCGTACCTGCACACAGGAAGACACCGCACACCCCGCCAAAATAAGAGATGGAACTCAGGTCATTAAATGTTGTATCGAAAGAAAATGTATTTTAAAAATATTTGTGTTTTGTTGTTTTTCCTTTAATTTGTGTCTCTTTCTGAATTTCGGTGCCTTACTACATTTAGTTTTTTGTCTTTTCAAAGTAATAATTGTTCGCCTGCGCATTAAACAGGAAGTACGTACGTGTGGTAGATGTTGAGCAGCTGCTGGTTCAGACTCAGGCTTTTATTGTGAAGGAACGTCGCCATCTCAGCCACGACCACCGCCGCGCTCACACCGTCTTTATCCGGGATCGAGCCGCCACACAGGAACCCTGCCGACAGGAAGTACATCCATCACTGAAGAGGTGTGTGCCGTGGTAAAGAATACATATATACATATAAGAAGGATACATAGTGACATTCTGAGAAAGATGTCAACATTTGAAATAAAAGGTACATTTAAAAAAAAAAAAAAAGTAAAAAAAATACATAAAAAGGATGAATATTATAATAAATAAAAACATAAAATTATATAATATAAAATTATATTATACAATAAAAACAATTAAAAAAATATCTATTATGATAAATGATGATATATGTATATATATATATAATAAGAAAGTCTAAATGTGACGGTGTTACCGATGGACTCCTCGAAGGCGAAGATGACGCTGTTTCCTGCTTTGGAAAGCTCGTGGATTCTGTTCCCGATCCACTTAAAGCCCGGCAGAGTCTCCTGAAGAGCGACACACATGAAACACTTCATAACATATTCTATATTTAAATAAATACGGAAAGATGTAAACTCTCTTATATTCTCTGAGGATGATGTTACAAGAAGAAAAACACTGAATTTCTCTGTATTAAAGTTGTACATTAATGAGAGATGGTAAATTGGTAATCTCCATAAAACACCACAAAAGTAGAAGTTCAGACCTCGAAGTGGAAGCCCTCGATGCGGGCGAGGGCCTGCAGGATCTTGGAGGACACGGTGGTGGAGAGCATGAAGAGCTTCTGGAGGTCTGCAGGGTCGGGGTGAGCCTCCTTCCAGTGGAGGAACATCCACCAGCCCAGCAGCGCCGCCAGCTCGTTCCCAGAAAACACCTTCCACCCACCCCTGGAAAATAGACATTTAATTTTGTATGGAGAAAATGCAAATTCTGAAAGAAAAGTGAAATCTGAAAATGTTTTTGAAGAAAAGTTAAAGATCTGGTTAAAAAGTCAAACTTCGTGAAATTCTTATAAAAAGGCACATTCTTAAAAGTGAAAATCTGAGACAATCTGGGACATTTTGAAAAAAGTGAAATTCCAGGAAAAGAGTGAAATTATGAAAAAAATCTTTCATTCCGAATTCAAAATTCTTAGAAAAAAAAATTTGAATAAAAAAGTGAAATTTTGAATGAAAGGGAAATTCTTAAAAAAGGCCAAATTATGAGAAAAAAGTGAAATTATGAAAAACATCTCAAAATTTGGGAAAAAGTCAAATTCTAAGAAAAAAGTCATGTTTGTAAAAAAAAAGTTATGTTTGTAAAACAAAAGTCAAATTATATAAAAAAAGTCAAATTATATAAAAAAAGTCAAATAGTTTATAGAAAAATTTGAATGTAATTTTTAATGGAGAAACTCAGCCTTTGCTGACCATTGACTTGCACTAACTTCTAATAACACACTACAGGGAGGGCAATGGAGCAAATACATGAGAAATAGAACATCTAATTCATGGGAAGAGCTTAAAGCAACATCTTAACAAGCAAAACAATGTATAAATGATGGAAAAAGCTGAAGATTAGTGTTTGATAACAGCTAGATGTGTGCTATATAGATGTGACTCCGCAGTGCCTTTGAGCAAACGTTACCCGTCACATCGTTCTGCCGCAGCGAGCCGGTCGGCATCGGGATCCGTCGCCAGAACGATGTGAGCGTTTTCCCGCTCTGCCAGGAGGAGAGAAAGCTCCTGGAGAGGAAACACTTTGTCATTAAAACACAAAATTCCACCACCAAAATAAAGCCTGTGAACATTTTGAGAAAAGTGAACATTTTGAGAAAAGTGAACATTTTGAGAAAAGTGAACATTTTGACAAAAGTCAAAATGTTTGAAAGAAAGTCAAATTATGAGAAAAAAGTGAAGTTCCAGGCAAAAGTGATATAGTGAAAAAAAAGTGGAATTCTGAAAAAAGTGATGAACATTTTGAAAAAAAGGCAAATTATGAGAAGAAAATGAAATTCTAGAAAAAGTGAACAATTTGAATGTTGAATGTTGAATGTGTGTGTACCAGCACTGACGCCCCCTCCTCTGGGTTGGGGCAGCGCAGCGAGGGGAACTCCGGGTCGGGGTCCTTCTGCTCCGGGACCGCGAGCGGAGGAACGAAGCCGAACGCCTCGAAGGCTTTCTGAACGAAGACGTGACCGACACCGTGGAACGAAGAGTGGACGAACTTCAGAGGAGAGGCTCTGTTCAGATCCCTGAGAACACACACACACACACACACACACACACACACACACACACACACACACACACACACACACACACACACACACACACACACACACACACACACACACACACACACACACACACACACACACACACACACACACACACACACACACACACACACACACACACACACACACACACACACACACACACACACACACACACACACACACACACACACACACACACACACACACACACACACACACGGTATTTTTAGTCCTATATGTTTAACAGAGACATATGTTTAGGATTTACCTTTCAGGGTTAGGGTAAAAGGTGGATTTGCAAATGTTTAAGGACTGGAGGGTTTAATGGTTTAATGATGGGATGTTTAGACGATGGATTGGATATTCTCTCTCTAATATATAATGAAAAGCAGAACTTCTTTCTCCTCTGAGGAGGAAGTTGCTCCTGCACTTGAGATCCATTTCACTTGATATTGATGTTGCACTCCACAGACAGGTTCTGTATATATCTGAGACCTGTAGTGTATAGATGGAAAGCAGTATAACAGGGGACCTTTAAGGGAACTCATCCCTCCTCGGCCTCTGACAGGCCTCTGACAGGCCTCGCACAGGCCTCTGACAGGCCTCTGACAGGCCTCGCACAGGCCTCTGACAGGCCTCGCACAGGCCTCTGACAGGCCTCGCACAGGCCTCTGACAGGCCTCTGACAGGCCTCTGACAGGCCTCTGACAGGCCTCGGACAGGCCTCGGACAGGCCTCGGACAGGCCTCGCACAGGCCTCGCACAGGCCTCGCACAGGCCTCTGACAGGCCTCGCACAGGCCTCGGACAGGCCTCGGACAGGCCTCGGACAGGCCTCTGACAGGCCTCGGACAGGCCTCGCACAGGCCTCGGACAGGCCTCGGACAGGCCTCGGACAGGCCTCGCACAGGCCTCTGACAGGCCTCTGACAGGCCTCGCACAGGCCTCTGACAGGCCTCTGACAGGCCTCGGACAGGCCTCGGACAGGCCTCTGACAGGCCTCGGACAGGCCTCTGACAGGCCTCGGACAGGCCTCGCACAGGCCTCGGACAGGCCTCTGACAGGCCTCTGACAGGCCTCTGACAGGCCTCGGACAGGCCTCTGACAGGCCTCTGACAGGCCTCTGACAGGCCTCGGACAGGCCTCGCACAGGCCTCGGACAGGCCTCGGACAGGCCTCGGACAGGCCTCTGACAGGCCTCTGACAGGCCTCGGACAGGCCTCTGACAGGCCTCTGACAGGCCTCTGTGCCGTCAGGCTGCACAACAAGGGGTCAGCGATGTGACACAAGTACTGGACATACAATGCACTGTTTTCACATACACATGTAAATATATCTAATATGTATATAGGACACAATATGTATATATTAGGGCTGTCAGTCGATTAAAATAGTTAATCGTGATTAATCTCACATTTTGTATCTGTTCTAAATGTACCTTAGAGGGATATTTTTCAAGTTTTTAATACTCTGATCAACATATGAGTGGACAAATATGCTTTATATGTTTGTTTATTATCATTTGAACAATGACAAATATTCTCATGAATATTAAACACAACAACCTGGAACCTCTCTCATACAATAATACAATACAAAGTGTGTGTGTGTGTGTGTGTGTGTGTGTGTGTGTGTGTGTGTGTGTGTGTGTGTGGTGTGTGTGTGGTGTGTGTCTGTGTGTGTCTGTGTGTGTCTGTGTGGTGTTAATGTGTGTCTGTGTGTGTCTATGTGGTGTTAATGTGTGTCTTTGTGTGTCTGTGTGTGTCTTTGTGTGTCTTTGTGTGTCTGTCTGTGTCTGTCTGTGTCTGTGTGTGTCTGTGTGTGTCTGTGTGTGTCTGTGTGTGTCTGTGTGTGTGTGTGTGTGTGGTGTTAATGTGTAGATGACCCCCTGACCTGTGGAAGCAGAGGCTCTGCAGCTCCTCCATGTAGCACAGGTTGATGTGGGGCAGAGGGTCTGTCCTCAGAGGGTTCACCTGCACCTCCTCCTCCGCCCAGCAGGAGGCGCTCCAGGGCTGCAGCTCCTCCTCGATGCTCCTCACGATCTCCTTATCGTGAGGAGAGCAGATCTGAGCGCCGTTACACCAGTACACCTGCAGGGGGCAGCGTTTCATCAGAGACTCACAGGTGTTATCATCATGTGCTGCTTCTGACCTGAGCTCCTCCAACCATTCAACATAGATCATTAAATACTAAACACTAAATAAAAAGCAGTGCAGAAAGTCTATCAACAGGATAACTGAGGTCCTCACTAAACTGCAAAACAAAACTACCCACACACTCCGATCTCCTAACCCACTCTCACTGGGTTGTCCTCAGCTTTGATGCTATTTTAAATATGTTAGTGTTTTCATTTTTAGGTTTTTATTTCCCTTTATGAGATCTATTTATTTATGAATTGTATTTCCTCTCCACACACAGGCTTTCTTTGTCTTGTTTGATTTACACTCATGAGTTTGTATTTGGAACATTTAGGGACTAAATGAGTTCATACATCAAATATAAAAAGGACAACCTGTTTTTTTATATCTCGATAAAATAGAAGTTGTAATTGAACTTTAATTGGAGATGATTTCAATGCGTGAAGGAAGTGTCCCAGGTGATTCAGGTGTTCAAACATGTTTCTCTCTCTCTGCGTGATACAGAAGACACGTCTCCTGCTGTCCCTCAGAGACACACCTGGCTGAAAACAACTCCTCGCACACCTTGGTGATTACATTCTACTTCAAAGAGTTCACTTCGACCTCACATCTGATCCACCAGCTCCAACTGGGTCTACGTTGTTTGAAGAGAACATATCTGAGCTTTCCTTGCTGTTCGGGGTTTGATTCTTTATGGTGTTGCTCTTATTGTAAATCCCTTTGGATAAAGCCTCAGCTAAATGATGTGTAAAGCATTGAAGAGGCTCACCTGAAGACCAGCATTATACGATTAGTATGTTTTTATTTGACTGTATTTACTTGTTTCAAATGAATTGTGTCTTTATGGTGACTTATCAAATCTGTCCAGGGACGGCAGATGAAAAAAAGCCTCTTGGCAGAAATGTTGATGAGTGCATCAGAGAGCGCCTCCTGGTGGTCGCTCAGATGAGTGTGCATCAGAGAGCGCCTCCTGGTGGTCGCTCAGATGAGTGCATCAGAGAGCGCCTCCTGGTGGTCGCTCAGATGAGTGCATCAGAGAGCGCCTCCTGGTGGTCGCTCAGATGAGTGTGCATCAGAGAGCGCCTCCTGGTGGTCGCTCAGATGAGTGCATCAGAGAGCGCCTCTTGGTGGTCGCTCAGATGAGTGCATCAGAGAGCGCCTCCTGGTGGTCGCTCAGATGAGTGTGCATCAGAGAGCGCCTCCTGGTGGTCGCTCAGATGAGTGTGCATCAGAGAGCGCCTCCTGGTGGTCGCTCAGATGAGTGCATCAGAGAGCGCCTCCTGGTGGTCGCTCAGATGAGTGTGCATCAGAGAGCGCCTCCTGGTGGTCGCTCAGATGAGTGTGCATCAGAGAGCGCCTCCTGGTGGTCGCTCAGATGAGTGTGCATCAGAGAGCGCCTCCTGGTGGTCGCTCAGATGAGTGCATCAGAGAGCGCCTCCTGGTGGTCGCTCAGATGAGTGCATCAGAGAGCGCCTCCTGGTGGTCACTCAGATGAGTGCATCAGAGAGCGCCTCCTGGTGGTCGCTCAGATGAGTGCATCAGAGAGAGCCTCCTGGTGGTCGCTCAGATGAGTGTGCATCAGAGAGCGCCCCCTGGTGGTCGCTCAGATGAGTGTACATCAGAGAGCGCCTCCTGGTGGTCGCTCAGATGAGTGTGCATCAGAGAGCGCCTCCTGGTGGTCGCTCAGATGAGTGTGCATCAGAGAGCGCCTCCTGGTGGTCGCTCAGATGAGTGCATCAGAGAGCGCCTCCTGGTGGTCGCTCAGATGAGTGCATCAGAGAGCGCCTCCTGGTGGTCGCTCAGATGAGTGCATCAGAGAGCGCCTCCTGGTGGTCGCTCAGATGAGTGTGCATCAGAGAGCGCCTCCTGGTGGTCGCTCAGATGAGTGTGCATCAGAGAGCGCCTCCTGGTGGTCGCTCAGATGAGAGTGCATCAGAGAGCGCCTCCTGGTGGTCGCTCAGATGAGTGTGCATCAGAGAGCGCCTCCTGGTGGTCGCTCAGATGAGAGTGCATCAGAGAGCGCCTCCTGGTGGTCGCTCAGATGAGTGCATCAGAGAGCGCCTCCTGGTGGTCGCTCAGATGAGAGTGCATCAGAGAGCGCCTCCTGGTGGTCGCTCAGATGAGTGCATCAGAGAGCGCCTCCTGGTGGTCGCTCAGATGAGTGCATCAGAGAGCGCCTCCTGGTGGTCGCTCAGATGAGTGTGCATCAGAGAGCGCCTCCTGGTGGTCGCTCAGATGAGTGTGCATCAGAGAGCGCCTCCTGGTGGTCGCTCAGATGAGTGTGCATCAGAGAGCGCCTCCTGGTGGTCGCTCAGATGAGAGTGCATCAGAGAGCGCCTCCTGGTGGTCGCTCAGATGAGTGTGCATCAGAGAGCGCCTCCTGGTGGTCGCTCAGATGAGAGTGCATCAGAGAGCGCCTCCTGGTGGTCGCTCAGATGAGTGCATCAGAGAGCGCCTCCTGGTGGTCGCTCAGATGAGTGCATCAGAGAGCGCCTCCTGGTGGTCGCTCAGATGAGTGCATCAGAGAGCGCCTCCTGGTGGTCGCTCAGATGAGTGCATCAGAGAGCGCCTCCTGGTGGTCGTTCAGATGAGTGCATCAGAGAGCGCCTCCTGGTGGTCGTTCAGATGAGTGCATCAGAGAGCGCCTCCTGGTGGTCGCTCGGTGACTTGCTTTACTCACACGGCTCATCTGAGCTGCAGAGTGTTAAGAAACAGTTCTGACCTTGTACCCGTTGTCTTCTTTGGGATTGTGTGAGGCGGTGATCATCACTCCAGCTGCTGCACCCAGCTTCTTCACAGCGAACGGCTGTAACACACACACACACACACACACACACACTTAATAACTCACACACACACACACACTTAATAACTCACACACACACACACACACTTAATAACTCACACACACACACACTTAATAACTCACACACACTTAATAACTCACACACACACACACACACTTAATAACTCACACACACACACATACTTAATAACTCACACACACTTAATAACTCACACACACACACACACACTTAATAACTCACACACACACACACTTAATAACTCACACACACACAAACACACACACACACACTTAATAACTCACACACACACACACTTAACACACACACACACACACACACACACACACACACACACACACACACACACACACACACACACACACACACACACACACACACACACACACACACACACACACACACACACACACACACACACACACACACACACACACCGGACAGGAAGTGACGCGTGTTTGCTCACCACGTACGGTGTGGGGACGAAGGCGGAGAAGAGATGGACGGGAACACCTCGGCTCAGGAGCACCGCGGCCACCAGGCGAGCCAGCCTCAGAAACACAGGGGGGGGAGGGGGGACACACGTTAGCGCACCGCGGGGGGGACGGGAAGATAATTCTCGTACTTTTGTGTTTTTTTCTCTTAATTGCTTTTTCAAATGTTGTTTTTCAAATGTGTGATTTTTTTTTGTTGTGAATTTGTGATTGACATTTAGGAGAATGTTCCCTTAAAATGTTGACATTAATTCCCCCGTCACACTGTCCCCCTGTCTCACTGTCCCCCTGTCTCTCTGTCTCTCTGTCTCACTGTCCCCCTGTCTCACTGTCCCCCTGTCCCCCTGTCTCACTGTCCCCCTGTCTCACTGTCCCCCTGTCTCTCTGTCTCTCTGTCTCACTGTCCCCCTGTCTCACTGTCTCACTGTCTCTCTGTCTCACTGTCTCTCTGTCTCACTGTCTCACTGTCTCTCTGTCTCACTGTCTCTCTGTCTCACTGTCTCTCTGTCTCTCTGTCTCACTGTCCCCCTGTCTCACTGTCCCCCTGTCCCCCTGTCTCACTGTCCCCTGTCTCTCTGTCTCTCTGTCTCACTGTCCCCCTGTCTCACTGTCCCCCTGTCCCCCTGTCTCACTGTCCCCCTGTCTCACTGTCCCCCTGTCTCTCTGTCCCCCTGTCTCACTGTCCCCCTGTCTCACTGTCTCACTGTCTCTCTGTCTCACTGTCTCTCTGTCTCACTGTCTCTCTGTCTCTCTGTCTCTCTCTCTGTCTCTCTGTCTCTCTGTCTCACTGTCCCCCTGTCTCTCTGTCCCCCTGTCTCCCCTGTCTCACTGTCGCCCCTGTCTCACTGTCTCTCTGTCTCTCTGTCCTCTCTGTCCCCCTGTCTCACTGTCTCTCTGTCTCTCTGTCTCACTGTCTCTCTGTCTCTCTGTCTCACTGTCTCTCTGTCTCACTGTCTCTCTGTCTCTCTGTCTCACTGTCTCTCTGTCTCTCTGTCTCTCTGTCTCTCTGTCTCACTGTCTCTCTGTCTCTCTGTCTCACTGTCTCTCTGTCCTCACACTGTCTCTCTGTCTCTCTGTCTCACTGTCCCTCTGTCTCTCTGTCTCACTGTCTCACTGTCTCTCTGTCTCACTGTCTCACTGTCTCACTGTCTCTCTGTCTCACTGTCCCTCTGTCTCTCTGTCCCTCTGTATCACTGTCTCACTGTCTCTCTGTCTCACTGTCCCTCTGTCTCTCTGTCTCTCTGTCCCTCTGTCTCTCTGTCTCTCTGTCTCTCTGTCTCTCTGTCCCTCTGTCTCTCTGTCTCACTGTCCCCCTGTCTCACTGTCTCTCTGTCTCTCTGTCTCTCTGTCCTCACTGATCTCACTGTCTCTCTGTCTCTCTTGTCTCTCACTGTCTCTCTGTCTGCTACTGTCTCCTGTCTCTGCTGTCTCTCTGTCTCACTGTCTCTCTGTCCTCTGTCTCACTGTCTCTTCCTCGTCTCACTGTCTCCTGTCTCTCGTCTCTCTGTCTCACTGTCCCTCTGTCTCTCTGTCTCACTGTCCCCCTGTCTCACTGTCTCTCTGTCCCTCTGTCTCTCTGTCTCACTGTCTCACTGTCTCTCTGTCTCACTGTCCCTCTGTCTCTCTGTCTCACTGTCTCTCTGTCTCTCACTGTCCCTCTGTCTCTCTGTCTCACTGTCTCTCTGTCTCACTGTCCCCCTGTCTCACTGTCTCTCTGTCTCACTGTCCCTCTGTCTCTCTGTCTCACTGTCTCACTGTCTCTCTGTCTCTCTGTCCCTCTGTCCTCTCTGTCTCACTGTCTCACTGTCCCTCTGTCTCTCTGTCTCACTGTCTCTCTGTCTCACTGTCCCTCTGTCTCTCTGTCTCACTGTCCCCCTGTCCCTCTGTCTCACTGTCCCCCCTGTCTCCCTGTCTCACTGTCCCCCCTGTCCCCCTGTCCCTCTGTCTCACTGTCCCCCTGTCTCCCTGTCTCACTGTCTCACTGTCCCCCTGTCTCACTGTCCCCCTGTCTCACTGTCTCCCTGTCTCACTGTCCCCCTGTCTCACTGTCCCTCTGTCTCTCTGTCTCTGTCTCACTGTCCCCCTGTCTCACTGTCCCCCTGTCTCCCTGTCTCTGTCTCACCTGCTGCTGCTGCAGCCGCTCTCCTGCTGTCCTCTCGTATCGAAACCAACCACCACTCCTCTGCTGGAGACGTCTGAACAACACCTGAGCAGGTAGGAGTACAAGCCCTACACACACACACACACACACACACACTTTATATTTAAAAAAAACATTTTAAGACACATATTTGTTCAAATATTTTATTCATAACAACATGGCTGGACACCTGGACTAACACCTGGACTAACACCTGGACTAACACCTGTATTACCAATGGACTAACACCTGGACTAACACCTGGACTAACACCTGTATTACCAATGGACTAACACCTGGACTAACATCTGGACTAACACCTGTATTACCAATGGACTAACACCTGGACTAACACCTTGACTAACACATGGGAACACCTGGACTAACACATGGGAACACCTTGACTAACACATGGGAACACCTGGACTAACACCTGGACTAACACATGGGAACACCTTGACTAACACATGGGAACACCTTGACTAACACATGGGAACACCTTGACTAACACATGGGAACACCTGGACTAACACCTGGACTAACACATGGGAACACCTTGACTAACACATGGGAACACCTTGACTAACACATGGGAACACCTTGACTAACACCTGTATTAACACCTGGACTAACACCTCGACTAACAGCTGTATTAAGACCTAGACTAACAGCTGGACTAACACCTTGACTAACACATGGGAACACCTAGACTAACACCTGGACTAACAGCTGGACTAAGAGCTGGACTAACACCTGGACTAACACCTTGACTAACACATGGGAACACCTGGACTAACACATGGGAACACCTTGACTAACACATGGGAACACCTGGACTAACACATGGGAACACCTTGACTAACACATGGGAACACCTGGACTAACACATGGGAACACCTTGACTAACACTTGGACTAACACCTGTATTAACACCTGGACTAACACCTCGACTAACAGCTGTATTAAGACCTAGACTAACACCTGGACTAACACCTGGACTAACACATGGGAACACCTGGACTAACACCTGGACTAACACCTGGAATAAAACCTGGACTAACACCTGGGCTAACACCTGTCTCATCTGTCTCTCACCTGTCTGTCTCTCACCTGTCTCTCTCATCTGTCTCTCTCACCTGTCTCATCTCTCTCTCACCTGTGTGTCTCACCTCTCTCTCACCTGTCTCTCTCACCTGAGTGGTCTGTATGACGGTGAGGTCGTTGACCCTGTTGAACCCGGCTCCCATTGGTCCTCGCAGCCCGGCGGTGCCGAAGCTCATTCTGCTGCAGAGCCTTGAGCGAAGCTCCTCCCACTTCCTGTCCGAGAGAAACACCTCCACCTGGGAGCGGGTCAGCACGTTCTGCACCACAGAAGAAGAGCTCAGGTCGGTCAGACACACACACACACACACACACACACACACACACACACACACACACACACACACACACACACACACACACACACACACACACACACACACACACACACACACACACACACACACACACACACACACACACACACACACACACACACACACACACACACACACACACAAATCAAACACACTGATCATGATCATAATACAAGATTAAGTAAGAAAATAATAAATAAAGCGATGAACAAATAAAAACATAAATAAAAATCCCAAATTAAGAAGTTATAGATTAAAAACAAGGTAAATAGTAATAACAAAATCAAAAATATGAATTATTAAATTCGTAATAAATAATAATAAATAGAAGACCCAGCCTGCTGTCTGAATAATACACTAATAATTATTAATAAATAAAATATGAATAATAAATCACACAGCCGGCTTGAGGAGCTTTTCAGGGCTGCTGACATTTAACAAGAGGTCACACACACACGCACGCGCACACACACACACACACACAGTTATATGACTTTTAAAGCAGGAGTGCATGTTGGTGTCAAACAGCTGATTGTGCAGTTTAATCACAATACTGGGTCTCTGCCCTGACCCAGTGTGAATATAATCATAATAACAATAATAATCATATTAATAATAATAATAATTAATTATATTTAGAGGCGCCTTTCAAAGCACCAAGGACACCTTTCAATTCATAACATATTCTAAGGAAAGGTTTCAGACAGGACAAAAGGACTATAAGGGGACATGTAGCTCTACAGTGAGCAGGCTGATCTGGAGGTGGGACAACATGCTCCTTTAGTCTGAATGCTGGTGTTTGAGGGGGTCTGGTCTTTCATTTAAATTAAAATAAATGATATATTAAGCGTCTTTGAGCAGTAGGAAAAGCGCTATAAAATTCCAAAGTATATGTAACTAATGGGCCGGTTGAACCCCCAGTCCGGCCTGACCCAGTATATGAACATAAACCCGGATCCAGAGCCCTGGGTGTGGGTCAACTTGCTCCGTTAGTTTAACTGCTGTTCCTCCAGGGTTCTGGTCCTCTCACCCGGTCCCAGCTCAGCCACTGCTCCACGGCCCGGTCCAGATGCGGGTCTCCGGGGCTCCGGTGCTCCACCACCCGGTCCAGATGCGGGTCTGCGGGGCTCCGGTGCTCCACCACCCGGTCCAGATGCGGGTCTGCGGGGCTCCGGTGCTCCACCACCCGGTCCAGATGCGGGTCTGCGGGGCTCCGGTGCTCCATGCTGACCGGCTCTCTGCGGGGAACACACGCCGCCTCTGGTGCTCTCTGCTCGGCCTCCTGACCCAGAACACGCCCCTCTCTCTCTGGAGCTCCGAAGCTAATGTTAGCCACAAGCTAACGGCATGCTAACTTTTTTTTTTTCTTCCAAACTTTATTAACAATTACTCCAAAACATCAGAATCAGACCCACAACAACAAAAACAAAACAACAAACACTACTTTAAGGGTGCAATGGTGCATTGATTATGTGTTCTGCTGATTCACTATGTGCTGCAGCTTGTGGGTAGGTCGGTCGGTCGCTAGGTAGGTAGGTAGGTAGGTAGCTAGCTAGGTAGGTAGGTAGCTAGGTAGGTAGCTAGGTAGGTAGGTAGGTAGCTAGGTAGGTAGCTAGCTAGCTAGGTAGCTAGCTAGCTAGGTAGGTAGCTAGGTAGGTAGGTAGCTAGGTAGCTAGGTAGGTAGGTCGGTCGGTCGCTAGGTAGGTAGGTAGGTAGGTAGCTAGCTAGGTAGGTAGGTAGGTAGCTAGGTAGGTAGCTAGGTAGGTAGGTAGGTAGCTAGGTAGGTAGGTAGGTAGCTAGGTAGGTAGGTAGGTAGGTAGGTCGGTCGCTAGGTAGGTAGGTAGGTAGGTAGCTAGCTAGGTAGGTAGGTAGGTAGGTAGCTAGGTAGGTAGCTAGGTAGGTAGGTAGGTAGCTAGGTAGGTAGCTAGGTAGGTAGCTAGCTAGGTAGCTAGGTAGGTAGCTAGGTAGGTAGCTAGCTAGGTAGGTAGCTAGGTAGGTAGGTAGCTAGGTAGCTAGGTAGGTAGGTAGGTAGCTAGGTAGGTAGGTAGCTAGGTAGGTAGCTAGGTAGGTAGCTAGGTCGGGTAGGTAGGTAGGTAGCTAGGTCGGTAGGTAGTGGTAGCTAGCTAGCTAGGTAGGTAGGTAGCTAGCTAGCTAGGTAGGTAGGTAGCTAGGTAGGTAGCTAGGTAGGTAGGTAGCTAGGTAGGTAGCTAGGTAGGTAGGTAGCTAGGTAGGTAGGTAGGTAGGTAGGTAGCTAGGTAGGTAGCTAGGTAGGTAGAGTGAGTGTGTTCAGACATAACATGAAAAATACTTAGAAAGTGGAACAGAGAATTTACAACAAACATTTAAATTAGTGAAATAAACACAACTTGTTTATTAATTACAGACACTTTATTTACCTTACACACATTTATACTTTCAATATGTTTTATTGAACATGTGAACAAACAGAATGTTTATCTAGGCGTTGTGTATCCAGTCTCTTTAATCCTCTCGTTCATCACCATGTCTGAGAACCAGATGTTATGGAAAAAGAGCAGATCAATAACTCTGAAGTAACGTGTTGTCCCTGAGAGGAGCTTTGATGGTGTTTGTAAAGATCCTTCATTTCACTACATCTTTCTTTCTTTACTTAAAACATGAAGCCTCATTAGAGCCCAAAGCTACACTTGTAATACCTTGTGTGCGTTTAACCCCAAAGGATGAACTTAAGGTACAAACAGCTGCTTCTGGAGCTTATCTGTATGTTTAAGGCTTTGAAAAGCGGTGTTTCTGAGGTTAGTCTCTACTCTCTCTCTCCTCAGCGTCCGTCAGAGAGACGTCAGAGACTCAGAGAGACGTCAGAGACTCAGAGAGACGTGAGAGACTCAGAGAGACGTCAGAGACTCAGAGAGACGTCAGAGAGACGTCAGAGACTCAGAGACTCAGAGAGACGTCAGAGACTCAGAGAGACGTGAGAGACTCAGAGAGACGTCAGAGAGACTCAGAGAGACGTCAGAGAGACGTCAGAGAGACTCAGAGAGACGTCAGAGAGACGTCAGAGACTCAGAGAGACGTCAGAGACTCAGAGAGACGTCAGAGACGTCAGAGAGACGTCAGAGACTCAGAGAGACGTCAGAGAGACGTCAGAGAGACAGTCAGAGAGCTACCAGAGAAGACGTCAGAGAGACGTCAGAGAGAGAGACGTCAGAGACTCAGAGAGACGTCAGAGACACGTCAGAGACACGTCAGAGACTCAGAGAGACGTCAGAGAGACGTCAGAGACGTCAGAGAGACGTCAGAGAGACGTCAGGGAGACGTCAGGAGAGGAGACGTTGAACCTCTCCCTGAAGGCCTCAGGCAGCACGGGGATGGCCTCCTCCACGCTCACGTCTCTCTGCAGCTCAGCGCTCAGCGACGTCACGCCTTCCCTTCGATTCCGCACGGCACGATTGGGGCGAACCACGACAAGGCTCGGTGTTACAGTTCAAGCGAAGCCGTGAGACGTGACGTAGCGACCGCAGTGGATTCCTGCAGGAACACATAATGAAGAATATACAAGATAAGATAGGACGTCCTTATTCCCCAAGGACACTGCAGAGTTACAACGAACAGAGCATCATGTGTTTCTGTGTGTTTCTGTACCGATGGCACAGATCTTGTTGTCTCCGACCCAGACTCCGGTGTGAGGCGACGTCGACGCCTCGATGCCGAACCGTCTGCAGACGGAGAGGACGGTCTGCTCCAACTCACACACATACCATCGCACACTCTGAGGACACACACAGATACACACACGTTAACACACACACACAGATACACACACGTTAACACACACACACACGATACCACACACGTTAACACACACACACACTACCACACACGTTAACACACACACACACTACCACACACGTTAACACACCACATATACCACACACTTTAACACACACAGATACACACACGTTAACACACACACATGAAAGGTCTCCTATTATACTGTTTTTAGGCCTATATTATAGGTCTCAAATATATAAAGACATGTCTCTGAAGTGTCCTTGCTCCAGACCCCAAACAGACCCTTGTAGCCCCCCCCCCCTCTCATTCCAGCTGTTACTAAGGACATGTCTCTGAAGTGTTCCTGCTCCAAACCCCAAACAGATCCTTGTTCAGCCCCCCCGTCTCTCTTCCAGCTGTTACTAAGGACATGTCTCTGAAGTGTCCTGCTCCAAACCCCAAACAGATCCTTGTAGCCCCCCCCCTCCCTCTCTTCCAGCTGTTACTAAGGACATGTCTCTGAAGTGTCCTGCTCCAAACCCCAAACAGATCCTTGTAGCCCCCCCCCCCCTCTCTCTTCCAGCTGTGTTACTAAGTGGACATGTCTCTGAAGTGTCCTGCTCCAAACCCCAAACAGATCCTTGTAGCCCCCCCCCCCCCCTCTCTTCCAGCTGTTACTAAGGACAGGTCTCTGAAGTGTCCTGCTCCAAAACCCCAAACAGATCCTTGTAGCCCCCCCCCCCTCTCTCCCAGCTGTTACTAAGGACATGTCTCTGAAGTGTCCTGCTCCAAACCCCAAACAGATCCTTGTAGCCCCCCCCCTCTCTCTTCCAGCTGTTACTAAGGACATGTCTCTGAAGTGTCCTGCTCCAAACCCCAAACAGATCCTTGTAGCCCCCCCCCCCCCCTCTCTTCCAGCTGTTACTAAGGACATGTCTCTGAAGTGTCCTGCTCCAAACCCCAAACAGATCCTTGTAGCCCCCCCCCCCCTCTCTTCCAGCTGTTACTAAGGACATGTCTCTGAAGTGTCCTGCTCCAAAACCCCTAACAGATCCTTGTAGCCCCGCCCCCTCTCTTCCAGCTGTTACTAAGGTACATGTCTCTGAAGTGTCCTGCTCCAAACCCCAAACAGATCCTTGTAGCGCCCCCCCCCCCTCTCTTCCAGCTGTTACTAAGGACATGTCTCTGAAGTGTCCTGCTCCAAACCCCAAACAGATCCTTGTAGCCCCCCCCCTCTCTCTTCCAGCTGTTACTAAGGACATGTCTCTGAAGTGTCCTGCTCCAAACCCCAAACAGATCCTTGTAGCCCCCCCCCCCTCTCTTCCAGCTGTTACTAAGGACATGTCTCTGAAGTGTCCTTCTCCAAACCCCAAACAGATCCTTGTAGCCCCCCCCCTCTCTTCCAGCTGTTACTAAGGACATGTCTCTGAAGTGTCCTGCTCCAAACCCCAAACAGATCCTTGTAGCCCCCCCCCCTCTCTTCCAGCGGTTTACTAAGGACATGTCTCTGAAGTGTCCTGCTCCAAACACCAAACAGATCCTTGTAGCCCCCCCCCCCCCTCTCTTTCCAGCTGTTACTAAGGACATGTCTCTGAAGTGTCCTGCTCCAAACCCCAAACAGATCCTTGTAGCCCCCCCCCCCCTCTCTTCCAGCTGTTACTAAGGACATGTCTCTGAAGTGTCCTGCTCCAAACCCCAAACAGATCCTTGTAGCCCCCCCCCCCTCTCTTCCAGCTGTTACTAAGGACATGTCTCTGAAGTGTCCTGCTCCAAACCCCAAACAGATCCTTGTAAGCCCCCCCCCCCTCTCTCTTCCAGCTTTACTAAGGACATGTCTCTGAAGTGTCCTGCTCCAAACCCCAAAACAGATCCTTGTAGCCCCCCCCCCCCTCTCTTCCAGCTGTTACTAAGGACATGTCTCTGAAGTGTCCTGCTCCAAACCCCAAACAGATCCTTGTAGCCCCCCCCCCCTCTCTTCCAGCTGTTACTAAGGACATGTCTCTGAAGTGTCCTTCTCCAAACCCCAAACAGATCCTTGTCGCCCCCCCCCCTCTCTTCCAGCTGTTACTAAGGACATGTCTCTGAAGTGTCCTGCTCCAAACCCCAAACAGATCCTTGTAGCCCCCCCCCCCCGTCTCTTCCAGCTGTTACTAAGGACATGTCTCTGAAGTGTCCTGCTCCAAACCCCAAACAGATCCTTGTAGCCCCCCCCCCCTCTCTTCCAGCTGTTACTAAGGACATGTCTCTGAAGTGTCCTGCTCCAAACACCAAACAGATCCTTGTAGCCCCCCCCCCCCCCTCTCTTCCAGCTGTTACTAAGGACATGTCTCTGAAGTGTCCTGCTCCAAACCCCAAACAGATCCTTGTAGCCCCCCCCCCCCCTCTCTTCCAGCTGTTACTAAGGACATGTCTCTGAAGTGTCCTGCTCCAAACCCCAAACAGATCCTTGTAAGCCCCCCCCCCCCCTCTCTTCCAGCTGTTACTAAGGACATGTCTCTGAAGTGTCCTGCTCCAAACCCCAAACAGATCCTTGTAGCCCCCCCCCCCCTCTCTTCCAGCTGTTACTAAGGACATGTCTCTGAAGTGTCCTGCTCCAAACCCCAAACAGACCCTTGTAGCCCCCCCCCCCCCCCCCCCTCTCTTCCAGCTGTACTAAAGAGCTGACTCTGGGTCAGTAGCTTCAGAGAGAGAGTAGATCTCATCAGGAGAACTCCGTGACTAAACTCCATATCATGTTCCAAACACACATGAAGGATTCTCTCTGAAACAGCATGGAGCTCAAACTCTTTCTCTCTCTCAGGTTTTACCACAAGGTGACTTCCTTTTGATTTCCTGCTTCTTTACACATGCTCTCTCCAGTACAGGTTAGCTCTGAGTGTTAGCATGCTAATTGTAGACACAGACCATATTACTTCCAGAACACGTCTCATTGTTTCTGACAGCAACGTTTCTGATTGGCCCGTGGGTGTAAAGCCCGCCCACATTTTAGTAATTGTGGTCATGACGCGAGCCAAATCTGGATCAGCTCCGTTGTTCCCCCGTTTTTAGTAGAGATGTGGGTAGGAGGAAAGAAGAGAGGGGTTTCTTCCTGACACTTTTGAGAAGTCTCCCTGACCAACACCGGGGACACGCCGGGGAGCACAACGGGGAACACACCGGGGACACACCGGTGGACCACATGGGACACACACCGGGGACACACCGGGGACACACCGGGACACACCCGGAGGACACATGGGGACCACACGGGGGACACACCGGGGACACACCGGGGCACACACCGGGACACACGGGGGACACACCGGGGGACCCACAATGGGGACACACGGGGGACACACCGGGGACACACGGGGGACACACCGGGGACACATGGGGACACACGGGGGACACATGGGGACACACCGGGGACACATGGGGACACACCGGGGACACATGGGGACACACCGGGGACACATGGGGACACACGGGGGACACCGGGACACACCGGGGACACACGGGGACACACCGGGGACACACGGGGGACACACCGGGGACACATGGGGGACACACCGGGGACACACCGGGGACACATGGGGACACACGGGGACACATGGGGGGACACGGTGATGTAGAAAAGACATCAGAACGTGCATTCTGCATGATAGGAGACCTTTAACACACATGTTAACAGATAACTACATTAAACTGTATTTACAGGTTATTAAAGGTTATTGATCACCTTCTTGAAGCTGCCCAGGTGCATGATGGGGGTATTAAAGGTTATTAAAGGTTATTGATCATTCTTGAAGCTGCCCAGGTGCATGATGGGGGTATTAAAGGTTATTAAAGGTTATTGATCACCTTCTTGAAGCTGCCCAGGTGCATGATGGGGGTATTAAAGGTTATTAAAGGTTATTGATCACCTTCTTGAAGCTGCCCAGGTGCATGATGGGGGTATTAAAGGTTATTAAAGGTTATTGATCACCTTCTTGAAGCTGCCCAGGTGCAGGATGGGGTATTAAAGGTTATTAAAGGTTATTGATCACCTTCTTGAAGCTGCCCAGGTGCAGGATGGGGTATTAAAGGTTATTAAAGGTTATTAATCACCTTCTTGAAGCTGCCCAGGTGCATGATGGGGGTATTAAAGGTTATTAAAGGTTATTGATCACCTTCTTGAAGCTGCCCAGGTGCAGGATGGGGTATTAAAGGTTATTAAAGGTATTGATCACCTTCTTGAAGCTGCCCAGGTGCATGATGGGGGTATTAAAGGTTATTGATCACCTTCTTGAAGCTGCCCAGGTGCATGATGGGGGTATTAAAGGTTATTAAAGGTTATTGATCACCTTCTTGAAGCTGCCCAGGTGCATGATGGGGGTATTAAAGGTTATTAAAGGTTATTGATCACCTTCTTGAAGCTGCCCAGGTGCAGGATGGGGGTTTTAAAGGTTATTAAAGGTTATTGATCACCTTCTTGAAGCTGCCCAGAGTGCAGGATGGGGATTAAAGGTTATTAAAGGTTATTGATCACCTTCTTGAAGCTGCCCAGGTGCATGATGGGGGTATTAAAGGTTATTAAAGGTTATTGATCACCTTCTTGAAGCTGCCCAGGTGCATGATGGGGGTTTATTAAAGGTTATTAAAGGTTATTGATCACCTTCTTGAAGCTGCCCAGGTGCAGGATGGGGTAGCAGACGAGCTGCCCCGGCCCGTGGAAGTGATCAGCCCCCCCGGCTGCAGCGCTGCACTCGGCCCGGTCTGACGCAGGCCCTCCAGCAGGGGGGAGGGTAGGGGAGGCAAGCGCAGCCCCGTGGTGAAGGTGGGGGGGTGCTGGACCAGCAGCAGGGCGTGGCTCTGCTCTCTGACCCTCTGATGGTTCTCCTGGTTCTCCTGGTTCTCCTCTCTGACCCTCTGATGGTGTCTGAGGACCAGATGCTGCTGCAGAGCCTCTGACTCTCTGAAGGAGAGGAGGCCAAGGCGCAGGACCTGGACCAGGGGGCGGGGGGGGCATCACTCCTGGGGGGGGGGGGGGGGTAACACATTATATAATAACACACATTATATAATAACACACACATTATACCTGGGGGCAATCATAACACACAAGGGTTGGGAACCGAAACTCGGTTCCAGATGAGAACCGAAAAGAAAATGCCGGGTACCGGGTACCCATACAAAATACACAATTTCGGTTCTGCTTAACGGTTCCTAAGCGCGGTTAGACTAACCCTTTAGTATTGCAAAGAAAGCCTACATATCTGCACGGACGTAGGCTAAGGCTACGTAGCTATCTGTAAGGACCTGTAGTAACGTGACAACGTCACGCATAACCCCGGACCCGCCGCTTGCATGTCCAGAAGTGCCAGGTACAGCTAGCCGCGACACACCGTTCTCTTTGGCATTAAAAGGAAAGCTGACCAGAGAAAACACGGAGGAGTTTCATAGAGCGGTAACAGCATTTGTTGTCAAAGAGCTACATCCCTTCTCGGTTGTCGAAGCTCCGTCATTTAGGTATGCAAAGGTTAAACAAAAGTGTGGCGATAGTAGGGTACTTCAATCAAATCAAAATCAAATGAAAGTTTATTTATAAAGCACATTTAAAAGCGATTTTTGGTCGAGCCAAAGTGCTGTACATGTAATAAAAACACATTACTACAATCACATAAAGGACAATAAATTACAACAGATATATAAAAATATAACACAAGAAAAAGTCAGGAGTCGTGCTCCGCTCTGACTAGAAAGCCAGAGAGAAGAAGTGAGTCTTAAGTGTGATTTAAAAACCCTAGGGTCTGGGCCGACCTCATGGAGGGGAGGGGCACAGAGTGTGTCCAGAGCCTGGGGCCAGCTGCTGCGAAGGCTCGGTGCCCTCGGGTTTTTGAGCTGGTCTTGGGCACTACCAGCAGCAGCTGGTCAGCAGACCTTAAAGCTGGCTGGGGTGCAGCGCTGGAGGAGTTCAGCTATATAGGCCGGAGCCAGCCCATTAGTGCTTTAAAAACAAATAAAAGGATTTTAAAATCAATTCTGAACCGAACTGGAAGCCAGTGTAGTGAGGCCAGAATAGGGGTGATGTGGTCACGCTTTTTTGTGGCCAGTCAGCAAACGTGCAGCTGCGTTTTGGACTAGCTGTAAGCGTTTGATTGAGG